AAAATCAGTGTTTGATGGAAAATTATTGTAATTCTAATCTTTTCATTTTATGCTTGGAAATACCAAATTCCAGAAAAATTTTTATGCCTTAAGTACCACCCATTGAATAAAGAGAGGAAAGCAGGGAGTGATTCAATACCAGCATCCCTCTGTCATCAGTGGAAAATGCCTTGGTCATGTACCAAAAGTATCCAAATACCCAGGATTCTGCAAGGATCATCTACTCTGCTCTCTGGGTGTTTCAGTCAGTATGGTTATAGTGAACTCATTCTTTACAACCAAAACAAGCTGTCCTGGGCTGAGTGTGGTTTCATCTGGGACTGACAAGCTGGGCTGGGCAGGAAGCTCTAGGATGGATAGTGTGGGACAGTGGAACATTGTGACATCATCAGTGATTGTCTCAGATAGCTTCCCATTGCTGATCCTGAAGTCCCAGCTGTTACCGCAAGTCCATTCCTCTACCATGAGTGAGGAGCAGCTAAAATCAACAGATCCACATGTACCTTGAGGTGACAGACTGGCTCTGGTGAATATTTCCTTTTTTTTTTTCTTAGAAGGTGACCCATTGGAATCTTGTTTTTTTACGCAGTCCTTGAGGTTTTTCCTTTTGTACTGATTAAGGATTCTTCAAATGATTCAGAACATGAAGGAAGAGTCCTAAGCAGTCATTCCATCAGTTTACTGGTAATGTTCTTTTGGGGAGGGGGAAAGTCGAAAACTTTTGATTTTAACCCCCCACTCTGATTATTTGGGCATGAATTTGGGTCTATGACTTCCACATGAGATTTCCTGTGACCCTGAGATCTACTTTGTCTGATTTACCCTTTGAAAAATCGTTGTGGCGGGGCTGGGGCTGGGGCTCAGTGGTAGAGCACTTGCCTTGCACATGTGAGGCACTGGGTTCCATCCTCAGCACCACATTAAAACAACAACAAAAAACAAACAAACAAACAAACAAAAAACCCCAAAGATATTGTGTCCATCTACAACTAAAGAAAATCTTTAAAAAATTGTTGTAGGGCTGAGTATATGGCTCAGTGTAGAGCACTTGTCTAGCATGCACGAAGTCCTGGTTTGATCCTTAGCACTGAAAAAGGAGAAGAAGGAGAAATTGTTATAATTCTGGAGATTGAGGGGATAGCTCAGTGGTAGAGTGTATGCTTAGAATGTATAAGTTCCAGCATGAAAAAAATAAAAGAAGTTATAATGCTGGATTGATAAGATGTAAATGCCATGTTATACTCCAACCAAAATAAGTTCCATTGATCAATCTCATTTACATATTTATAAGTAGGAAAGCCTGACTCTATTAATGTAAATGTAAATATTGGGCAAAATTAAGTCTACCCAAGTGAAGTGTGAGAGGTTGGCGGCTATGCATCCCTAGTGCCTCTGAACTATACCTAACCCTGCAGCTTAATTTTAGTTAGATGAACTACCAGAAATGTCAGCAATCTGTCTTTTCAGATTTCTTCTGCTCTTCCTTTCTGCTAAAGATAGATTCTGAAAGTATAGAATCCTCAGTTTTATTTGTTGCTTGAAACAGAACTAAAACTATTTTATCAGTGAATATTACTAATGTGAATTTTTAAGCTTTTGCAACAATAATTATTTTCAACTTAGAAGTTTTACTTTGAAATATCACATATCTACAAATACTCTATTAGTTTGTCACTGTAAGTGTACAGTGAATATGTATGTGTATGTGTGTTTGTGGGGGGGGGAGAGAAAAAGAAAGGAGAAGAAAGAGTAGATTTCAGTGAGATGTTTCCATCTTAATTCTTATTGTTGTATTGAGATTGTTACTAAAAAAATAATCTTTAGAAATTCTGTACTTGAAAAAAATGCAAAACCTTAACCTAAGTATTTGAAACCTCATAAAAAGTAATAGAACATGTTAATGAATATCCTTTTGTTAATCAAACATTGTAATGTATGCTTTATCTTCAGGACTCTTTTCCATTTTAAAAATAACTAGGACAATTTTAACAAGTATGTTTCTCTCACACAATGACGATTGAGTAATAATTCTCCATTTCACATTCAGTACTGTAGCTAGGAAGTGCAGTGATGGGTACAGTCGCTACTACATTCACCATCTGACCATATGGTACAACATACATCTGCCAAGGACAGAAATTCCATTATAATAACCATATAGGCACAGTCTTTTTGTTTATTTATTTGCAGTGTTGGGGATTGAACCCAGGGTCTGGCTCGGGCTAGGTAAGCACTTTCCCACTGGGCCATATCCATATTCTCAGCCCTAGCTAGTCTTAAGACCTTTCTTTCTTTTATTTATCCAACTACTACTCTGTAGCACATATGTTACATAGGTCAGGACCTCACTTTATACTAAAAACTCAAAATAGGTATACACTCAGGTCTCTGCCCTGGAGCAGTGCAGAGTCTGGCAGGGGAGGTGGTCATGGAGGCAAATGATTATCATATGATGTCATAAGTGTAATGGAAGTATATACAAGGTGTCATAGAAGTACTGAAGGAGAAACATGCCCAACTGCTGGAGCCCAGAAATGAGTCAGGAGAAAATCACAGAGAAGACCGTCTTTAAGTTGATTACTAAGGTCTTGGTAGGAAATACATTGTGGTGCTTAAGAGAATAGATTTTAGTCAGATTGTTTGAATTTAAATTCCAGCTCTACTACTTACTTGCTGTGGAAATTTAGGCATGTTATTTAATCTCTCTGTTTCAGTTTCTTCCTCTGTAAAATGGGCATAAAAACGAGGCATAGCTCAGAGGGTGGAATTGAGAATTATAAGTGTGTGATGGGCTTAGAACAGTGTATGACTTATAGAAAACTCTGTCAGGGTTAGCCAGTATGCCACGGAAAGCAGAATGAGTGAAAGCAAGGAAATATCAAGAAGTATGTAGGTTTGGCTATTTAAAACTGAAACATGAGCTGCAGTTGTGTAGAGGGTAGTGGGGAATGGCAAGAATAGACAGATAAGAAGAGAGAATCTATGCCTTGCCAAAGAGGCTTATGCTGAGATATTCCTAGGAGAATTTAAGAAACAAATTAGGATTTGTATTTCTGAAAAACAATTCTGATACAGTGGGAAAAGAGTAGGGACCACATTAGGTAAGCTGATAAGATGAGAATAGAGAGGAAGAGATGATAAAGACTTGGCTAAGGGATAGAAGGTAGGGTGCAGATTTAGAAGTTATTTAGGGGATGAAATTGATGAGACTTGGTTAACAGCTTAGATCAAGGCAGATGAGACAGAAAGAGTTGTGGATGATTCTCAGATTTCCAAATTGGATGATCTGGTAAAAATACCAGAGGAAAGAGGGTTCAGGGATAAGATTTTGAATTTGTTGAGCTTGAGGGAGCCTGTGGAATGACTAGTATTAGGTCTGTTGCTTAGGAGCTGGAAGTAGGGGAAATGAGGCTACTTGGGTTATAGGCAGTACTAGCCATTGTAGGAATGTGAGAACATGACACTGTGTGTATACAGGAAGATATTTGGGGATGATTCTGGAAAGCTGAACATTGAAAAGGCAAAGAGTACATCCAGTAAAGGACAGTGGTCACAGAGGAAGGAGGAAAGTAGAAAATTGAGTTCTGAAAAAAATGATGGAAATTCGAACAGGAAGCCTTAAAATGTAGGAGTGAGGTGAAGTAGAATGAAAGCTAAGAACTGTCCCTCGACATGGGCAATTTGGAAAAAAAACAGCTTGACAAAACTCACAAGCTATTATACTTCAATGAAGTAGCACAGCTGGCTAAGAGATACAGTGACTCCTCTTTGTTAAGATCCTAGATGTTAACGTTTTAGGTCAACCGAATATTTTATGTTGCTAGATGAATTCCTGGGGAACACCCATGGATGGGGTTCTTTTTCAGGCTTGCTGTATGAGGCAGATCTGGCTTGTCTTTGTAGAACTGCCTTCCTAGAGATTAGCAAGAAGTTTACCACCTTAGTATGCACATACTAAATGTTGGTGGAATGAATGAAGGAATGGTCTGTGGGTGCCAAAGGTCTGTCTTGGTGGAGCCTAGGGGGCTCTCAATATACGGTTGGTTCCAGGAGGCCCTCACAAATTTTTTTTTTTTTGATTGTTGATTTGATAAGAAATTCAGAGTTGTTAAGATATGGGGGATCTGAAAGGACATGCCTGTGTTAGGGTGGGGGGAGGACAATTTTGGTAATGACAACAGGTCTACACCAGTTGGTCTTGTTATGAAACAAATTCTTGCCTCAAGTCTTAGATATGATTTTATGAGTAGGTTTGCTATATTACCTTTCTTATTTCCTTCTTTTGTATGGGAAGGTGACTAGTCTCCAACAGAGACATATTTTTAAGGATAGGGACTACTCCAAAAAGTCCTGTAAATTCTTCCAAAACTTATCCTGGAAAGGTTGAACTGAGGGGCAATTTTGAGCAAGCAGTCAGCAGGCCTTCATGCGTGGGGCCTCAATTGCCCAATCCTCCCCCAGAACTCTAGGGCTATCCTAAAGGTCTTCCTGGCCCTCAGGTCTGGGAAGAAACTGTCCCATCCTAAAGGATTTTAGGATTCACACAGGGCCAGATTAAGATCTTCCCTGGCATATTTACGCGGGTGAACTGATGCAGCCCAGATACTGGAACAGGGAGTTGGGGCACTAACATAGTGTTTTCATTATTTCTTTCTCCTCACTCTTTTTTTTTTTTTTGTACTGATGGGGAGGGGTGGTTTGGGATGGATCAAGCGCTTCATTCATCCCTTTCAGTCGGCCCCCAGCTTCTCAAGTTAATGGCCATCGCACCTTTGAGCCGGTGTAGAACCGACCGCCGCGGTCCGACGGCGGAAGGAGCCGAGTAGGAAGCGGAGGTGGGATGTCCCTCGGAGCCCCCACCCCGCCGCGCTGGAGACCGGCAGGCGTGGCGGGAGGATGCCGGCGCGCGGAGGGCGTGCGCCGCCCGCCACTCCTTCTCTCCCGCCCGCGCTCCCAGTCCCGGGGACCCCCGCGCCCGGGGAAGCCCCGCGCTCGGCGCCGCCGCCCGCCCCCGTCCCTCCGCCTCCTGAGGCCCGGGGCTGCCTCCTCGGGCCGCGCCGGGGCCGCTCCGCACTGCGCATGAGCGGGAGCCCGGCGAGCCCGTGAGAGGAGCCGCCGCCGCCGCCGCCGTCCATTCGCTGCGGAGCCGGAGGAGGAGGGGAGAGGCCTGGAGGACACCAACATGGTGAGGCACTGCGGCCGCCCGCCGCCCGCCCGCCCCGCCGGCTGGGGCCAGGCGCTGCCGCGCACCCCGCCCCGGCTGCCCTCTGCCCCCCGCCCCGCGGCGACCCCGTAGCCCCGAGCCTCGGCCCGCGGCCTCCGTCCCGCTCCCGGGCGGGGGCTCTCCTCCCCGCCTCTCCCTTCCTCCTTCGCCCCTTCCCGCCCGGACGCCGCCGCTACGCGAGAGCCGAGGAGGCGGAGCGGAGTCGGGCCTAGTCGGGAGACCCAGGGAGTTTGGGGCGCGGGGAGCGGCCCCGGTGCCTCTCGCCCGGGCCGGGCGCGGGTGGGGGAGGCGTTGGGGCGGGGGGAGGGGAGGGGAGGGGGCAACGTCCCTGCCCCTGCCCGGCCCCCTCGCAGGCTCCATTGTGTCTGGCTGGGGACTGGGGTCCCGGGTCCCGGTGAGGAGCCTCCCTCCCGCCCCGGAGCCGGGGCTTCCCTCTCTGCCCGGCCCGGGAGAAGGCAAGACTTTGGCTGCGCCTCTTTCCCTCCTCCACTCCGGGCTCTGGCACCCCTCAAGTCTCCCAGGCAGTTTTGCTTCGGGCGGGGTATCAGACCTTTTCCTCTCTCCATCATTTCCCTATGCGTCCCATGCTTTGGGGAAAGAAGAGTTTAACTGGCCAGTTGGTGGAGGTTATATTTACCTCTCTACTGAAAACAAGGGAGACTACTGAACTTGGGGGAGGGGGGTACGGAAGTGCAACCTGTTCTCATTTCATAGAATTAGGGAAAACAGACTTGCTGCCTTTGGAGTACCTATTTTATTTGCTTGGGGTGGGAGGAGTAATGGCTTTATTATAGCAGTTAAGGACCATTTGTGATTTTTAAAAAACAGTTTATCAAGTTACTCCCCTTTTTCGTTTGGGGGGTAAAAGTCTTCCAAGCTTAAAGACCCTTATAATCACATTGTTTACTTTGGTAATTACGTATCTGACTCTGTTGCACACTCTTTGTTTTTCAGAAGCGATGTTTGGCATTTTACAGTCTGAGCTTGAGTGGAATTCCTTGCAGGTTACTGTATGAATAGTAAAAATGATATTGTCCTTTTGCTTATGGGGAACATAAAGGCCTCTTTGAGGAGTGTGTATATGCGCTCCGGTGTTAAAGGAATGCCTCAGTGTCTGGTTTTAGTGCGTTATTTTCGCTGACCGACTAATATGTAGCCCTAACATCCCAACTTGTCAGTATTTTGGTGTCCTGTATGGATAAGTGGTCTAGTTTGCCACATATTCAGGGTTCTGTTCTTTGATAAGTTTCATAAAACTTTACTATTTGTAAGAAAACTTTCCTATGAAGTACAGGTTAATGTTTGGATGGATAGTACGATGTAAGTTCAGAGTTCCACCAGGAATTTCAATAAATAAAACTCCAAGAGCTTCCAAACTCTTCGCATTCAGTTGCGTATAAAAAGCTTGAAATAATGAAATGCAATTCTCTGGTAAATACTAAGAGCATCGAAATGTGCAGTAGTATAGTTTAGTATAGTCTCCAGATCATCCATGTTGATGTTCATCACTTGTTCAGGTTTTCAGGATTAATGTGATTCAGATAAAGAGTTCAGCTTGGGTTGGAGCTTCGTGTAAGCTTTTGTCTTTTTGGTTAATTTTCAATTAGGTGGTTTTGGAACTTATCCATAAGTCATGTAATTATACTGGTGGTGACAAGGTACCATTAATTTAGAACACTGTGGCAGAACTCCCTTCATATCACTAGGATTGTCTTGCTATGCCATTGTTAATTTAGAAACTCAACATGGGTCCATAAAAATTTATTTTATTATAAACTTATAACTGTCTAGATAGTTTTTGGGCCAATCTTAAATTTTTGATGTGAGTAGTGCAGCCTATTTCTACAGTACATATTAGTGTCAATTCTAGAATAAACTTAAATGATGGGACATCTGAAATATGTTCTATAAGAAAAAAAATTAGTCAGCTTACTCATCCTATCACATGTGTCAAAAATAACCCCCAAACAAGACCATATGATATTATTTTTAAAAGATTTTTTTTTTGGTAGATGGGACAGAATACTTTTATTTATTTTAGAGTGGTGCTGCTGAGTATTGAACCCAGTGCCTCACACATGGTAGGCAGAGTGAGCTACAACCCCAGCCCCTTGATATTATAATCTTCTAAAAAGTGTTCAAAACTTCTCGATTGCTTTTTTTACTCATTTGTAATAGGGCAGGGTCAGATTTGATGATTTCTAAAGTTCTACCCAGTTTACAATTTTATGATTGTAATAATTTTTATTAAATGTGTGTGTAGGTTGTGTAAGCTGTTAGGTTTTTATACACCCAGCATCAGAATTTCAAGACCTGAAATGGCCTCAAAAATCATTTCATTTGCTCCTCCCTACTTTTATAGAAGAAGAAATTCAGGCTGAAGGAGGTTTTTAGGTTCAAATTTGTAAGATTGTTACAGAACTGAAAACTATTTTCTCTTGGCCTCCATTTCCCCCATTTGTGGTACATCTAAATAAATCTTTTAAATTACATGAAATCTAGCAATATGGCTGAAAATTGCGTTTGAAATAACATCAAACAGAGGAAAACCTTAGTATTATAGTGAATGTGTTAAGTAACAAAATTCAAATTAACAGGTGGTTAATGTTATTAATTACTGTATTTTTAATGGCTTCTTATAAATGTGTGAACTTTGAAATTTAAGTTTATATTTTCTACAGAAATCAGAACTTATAAATCCAAATGTGTAAGTCTGTTCCAGGTTCTCTTTTCAGAACTTGCTTTACTTTTCTTTGCACATCCACAAGTAAAGGAGGGCCTTGATTGATTTCATTGGTTGTTTATTAAATGTTCATTATGTGCTAGACATTCTTCAAGGCACTTAAGAGATTGTGTGTGTTAAACACAGACACACAGACACACACACACACACGCACATATGCACATACACATATCACTGAACAGTAATCCCTGCTCTGGTGAGGGTTACATTTTTAATAGGAAAAGACAATAACAAAGTATATAATCTTTTTTAATGTGTTTAGAAGGTATTAGGTTCTATGTGAAAACAAAGTGTTTAGGAAAAGGTTTGGGAATGCTGGTGTGTGGTGGAAGTGGTGTTGCAAAATCGTGTAACACTGGAGATGTGAATTTTGAGCATACTAAGGAGATGAGGGGACTAAACTATGTAAAAATATATGGAGAGAATTTGAGGAATAGTGAGATCAGTGTGACTGTAGCTCAGTGTGTAAATTGTAATATAGGGTTATGGAGCAAATGAGCTATGAGTGCTAGGGAGTGGGTACAAGGTGAGCATTGAGAAGATACTGGCTTTTTCCAATAGAGATGGGAATTCACTGAGGGATTCTGGGTCTTTGTTTCTACCGCCACTTAGTGAACTATTACAATATCATAATTATTTTTAAAACAGCTTTTAAAAGACAAGACCCTTAAAGTTTTATTTGCCATTTAGCTTATGTGTACTGTTCTGAATTCTGTTTGTGATGACTATGTTCAATAAAAACTAATTTACCTTCCTACACTATGGTTAATAAAAACAACACACCAAAACCTCTTTCATAGATTTGTTGAATATGTTCTAGTGGTTGTTCTGAGTTTAATGTCTGTATGCAGAAAACTGGGCCTGTGTGTGTGTGGGGGGGAATTGACATTTGAGAAGATACTGTGTGCTTCTTAGGTTAAAATTATTCTCTACTCCCACTTATGAAATAGTATTACTACCATTATTTTGATATCTGGAGATGTAAATGTAGTGGTTCTAGATAATTTGACCAAGGTAGGTTAAGAGCTAGTATGTGGCAGAGCAAGGGTTAGAAGCATGGTCTCTGGTTCCACATTTATATCTCCCCACCAACCCCCATCCCTCCCTCTCTCCTAAACTCAGCAAGCACAAGTACAGGTGTGGAGTCTGATTTCTCTCTTATATTGAAAAGCAGCAGTTGTTTCATATAAAATGATCTGAAATAAGCATTTAGTGTATGGTTGAAAATTACAACACTTTTGTGCATTTGGTAAAAAAGTTGGAAAGTAAAATTAACACTGTGAATTTTGTTTTTTTAAGTTTTAAATTTAAAAATTCATTTGAGTCAAATGGCTGTTTTGATTATGGCCTCATATTAAGCATAAGGAAAATCTGGGGGAAAGCCCCCTTTTAAATTTCAGTATGTGTGGTTTTTAAAGTTGCAATAGTATTAGCCTTGACATTTGATGAAGAGAAATAGTTCCAAATATGATTCAGTTGCTTTGTGGACAGAAACAGGCTGACTATCTGGTTTACCTAGCCACTTTAGGTGTATATCATAGAAGCAAAAATGCAAGGGGAAAAATGCCTCTAAAATAATCTTTCATGACTTTTTTGAATTGGTTTTATATAATTAGTATCTAGTCACTGAGAATTATTAGACCATTTTTATGTATTGTAAAAAAATTTAAAAGACCTTACTTTTAAATGGTTCTTTTCTAACTGAGCACAGAGATAGGTTGCTAAAGTACACAGCCCATTTTCTTGTTATATTTTAATAAATATTTAGAGTGCTTATTATTAATAGGATCTTAATATTTCTATTTAAGATTTGGGTAGATACCAATTCTTAGAATTGGATTTTATTTTTCAGGGATCATTTATTATCTTTATGAAAAAATATTGTATAATTGTTGAATGCTAGCCATTATAAATGAGGTACCTATGGACCTTTAAAAATCACATTTAACTGAGTTTTTTTGTTGTTGTTGTTGTTGTTTGTTTCTCAATAATAGTGTTAATTGGAAATTTCTTTAGAAAAATGAAAGGAAAGCCAATTTATTTTTTTGAGGTGAGATTTCACTATGTTGGTAGTGAAGAGAAAATTGTTTAAATTTCCATTAATGGGATACTTTCTTTAAAAATTTGTGAGGGAAATTCTACAGAACCACTTGAATATCTACATGTATAAAAAATATTTCTGACTTTTTTTAGGTGGATTGACACTATATTTCATTGT